CGTAATTCCCACCCTGCACGTGCATCGACGGCGTCGTCGTCGTCCTGGTGGGGGTAAGTGTGACGTAACACGCAGTGCGGAACAAAACACTTTCTGCCGCTAGAATTCAGTCTGACATCTAGTGTGGCTCAGTTGAGATATTATGAACATTCTAGGTAAGCGCTTTCAAGGAAACTTTTTGCGCTCGAGAAGTTTTTGCGGAATGTGGGTGCGTATAAGATTGCGATTAGGCGTCTCGTGACTTTATTTTATTTATTCAAGTGATTATTATTTGTTTTTTGGCTTTGGTGATTCAAAAGAAGTCAGTATATTGCAATAGCTACTGAAAAGCTTAGTTACTTTTTTTATATATAATATGACGTGCTAATCTGAATCTTATAACTGCATTTTGCATGTTTTCCTGTGCTTATTTTCTTATTTTATGAAACATTGGGCGAAGATAGAAAAATTGTATTAACTAATTTTCTTGTAATAGGTATATCAACTTAAAATTCAAACGCATTAATTAAATTTTATCATGTGCAAAAACAATATTTTATTACGCCTTATTTTTTCAAAAGTTTCTTGGTGGCGTAATAAAAATAACTGGTACGCTGCTGCTATATTTAAATTTAATAAATAAGTTTTTTTTTACATACCTTAGGATGCTGGTTTACCACACAGGTTTTCTTACTTTCATTATCCATTTAATCCTGAATTTTACATAAAAACTGCAACAATTTCACGATCTACGAAACGCCGTTCTATTTTGTTCTGAGTGACTTTTTACGTAAATCTTTATCAACTCAACTAGTCCGTCAAACAAAGAATTCGAGAAGTTTTCTCTCATAATTAACAATATTGAGCAGTAGAATTTATTTCAATAAATAGCCGTACCGTACTTTTTTTTCTCACTATCCATATGTACACTGCACAATTTATCAATCTATGATGCGCCGTTATTATTCTTTCAATTGAGTGACGCTTTGAGTAGATATTTTTAAAGTTAACTGGCCCGTCGGAAAAAGAACACTGGATGTTTTTTCTTACAATAAATTATATTTAAGGCGAAGCGTACTTTTTTAATGATTTGTAAACTTCGATATTCGAAGGAGAAAATTTATATATTCCAAGCACATAATAAAATTTAATTCTTGTAAATTTAGTCAATTTAACAAAACTCCTACCTGCAATACACATTGTGAAACAACTGCTTTACAAATTCCACACTCCTTCACACATACATTAATCATAAGTAGAATATCTATTTCCTAAGTGATTACTTAGGTCGTATCTCAGGAATATTTTTTTTCCATATTTCAGACAAGGTATAATCTGAATCGAAATACTTTAATGAGAAAGCGGCTTGCATGAAATACATTGGGGAACAAAATTGTCTGTGACTTATTTCCGTTTCGCAAAACTTTGAAGCAGAATATACTTGTAATGTAAAATATTTGTTTACCAGTTTGTAGCTGTTTTAATCTTTGAAAACTGTCAATTATTCGATGTGTTCCTGCATTTTTATTAATTGTAGAAAAAAAAGTGAGTTTATTTTGTTTGAGGGGTTGGATCGCTAGCGCTCGTCCGTGTCCAATTTCATCTCAACTACTCACTCAGCTCCACATAGAGCAAAATATCACGAAGAAATGTTGTTTGGAACATAAAAAATATGGAGCTGTACATAATTTGAGAAATATCCGCCTACTTCGACGATATTATTTTTTTATTAATGGAAATTCTGAAAATTGACGGATTCGTCAAAGCAGGCTGCTTTTCCCAAAGCTGCAGTAGGACCACAATTTCACATTTTGAACAAGATTGTCTTATGATATTTCGCAGGATTTAGTAAAGAAATGGTTTTCATATGCCTCCAAGCCTTCACTGAATAAAGAAAATTGAAGATCGGCTTAAAATTTGTTCCAAGCCAAGCAAGACTTAATTCTCGAACACAATATTGACATTCATAATTTTTTCTTCCAATAAACCTCTTATTGCAACAATATCATCAATCCGTAGACTACAAACCAGAAAAATAGGACCTACCATATTATTTGTCCGACATAAGTATTTTATTTGTGAATTTTCATAAGGTGCTCATACATGTAACTATGCAATAAATATGCATCTAAAATACTTTAAAATGGGAAATAATGCAACATTGTTTATCTACCTCCATCTATTTTGTAAATTAATATTATATGAGCGGCACCAGGAATATAAGCGTTGCATTTTTAAAATGTTGATTTTATGTATTGTCTGGATTTCGAGCTTACAAAATTTTTACGTGAAGATGAACGTATCTTCATTAGAAAAATTTCTCAAATTTTGATGCATGTAATATATTTGATTTTAAATTTAAAACTTCCTGATAAAACTTTTTTTTTTTTCATCCCAATAAATCCGAGAAAATTGTGCCCTACTTTAAACCCGAGGCCGACGGTTCAGAAGGGGGCAAAAACAAATGCTTTATTGTCTAGTTGGCCGGCCCCATAATTACATTTCTGTCACGGGCCGAAATTGACGGATTTAGCCAAAGTCCTGCTTCGCAGTAGAAAGACAAAAACCCTATATGTAGTAGTACTTACTCGAGCGGGTATTTTTTCGACTCTGGCGACCGTCATTAATAATCCAGGTCCATTCTCATTCCTGACGCATGGCAAATCACCCTTGGATAGGCGTAATTTTTTGTAGGAATTTAGATTTTGTAGAAAGAGAGAGCGAAATTATTTTTATAATATGGGAGAATAAATTATACTTAATAGGAAAAGCAAAAATAAAAAATCTATATTTTTATTTAAAACCTCTGAAAACTGATGGTTGATGAGAGTTCCGAAATCTTGTTATGTTTAAATATACTTTTGAGAAGTTGTTAACATTTGTGATTAGCTTCTCACCCTGTTCGTTGACCGTTGTCGATAAACTCTTCTCCATTTAGAGTTTCGATTATTCTGTTGTTAATGTTTTAATTTGTAGTTCCTAGTATTTTATATTGCAATATGAGGTCCTCCCGAAAAGCCTATTTTGAGATATGTACTTAAATAAATAAAGAATATTTTACGTCTTTTTTTTTGAATTCCGTTTAAAATTGGGTCAACATTGTGATAATTTGTCGAAGAGCACTCTAGGTTCCTGTCATTGGGCATTTTGGAAGCTAGAACATTAAAAAATAATCCGACAGAGTTAATCTGAAATTGGGCCAATATTGTGCATAATACATCGCACCACGTGGAAGTGACATACTGAATCGGACCGGCCGAACCGGATCTATTAACAATGCAAAGTTACCATAAAATTAATGGAGCCAGCCTGATTTTCTATCGGGGTCGAATATTATTTTGTTGCTCATGGTAATATACATTATAACATTGTGTTATAGCTTATAACCCAATCAATTTTTCTTTCATCGGGACCTAATTTCCTATTCCTATCTATTTTGTGACAACCAATCTGTGTAATTTGATAATTCTTGTATAAATTGATGTTCGGCCCCCTGCGGCCTGCAGCCTATGCACCATTGGCGCGTACCTACTCAATTTAATTAAAGGTCGTCTCTCGCAAGTCCAGTCAAAATAGGGAACTTGCATGATATAACAATTATTACATTTCATCAAATAAATGAAAGGTACAGATGTGAATACGGATATTTTCGCCAAATTTTTCAAATCTATTCAAAGATACAATTTTTATGAATTTTCAAAAATGATGTTGCCGTCTCTGTCTTACTCGCAATGGCGATACTACGGAATGACGTCACATAGTATTAGTCTTTTTACTCCCGTAACTTTGTTATTCAAATTTTGTTTGCACAGATCAGTTCCAAAAGTTTTGAGGAATCAATTCAAAAACAGGAAAAAAAATTGTCAAGTATCCTGTTACGGATACGACTGAAGCAATGTTATGTGATGATGGACCACCTCAAACTAGGCCGGCATGGCACAGACCTTCGCCACCCGAACGAATTGTAGAGGCCCTGCGACAAATAAAATATAGAAACGTGATGTGACGGTCTGGCCACGTGAGTGGTTTGATCACTACAACTGAATTCATCGTGACAGCTCAGGTATCGCCGCCGATAGTGGTATCGCCTGGCACGTTTCTAAACTTTCGTACACAAGCATAGATTGTCATCTGAAGGAATACCTCATGAAAAATCTTTTTGCAATCTCCAAAGGGTCCCTTGCTTGTAGGAGATGTTCTTTTGGCGAACGACTTAGTCGCCATCGCGGATAGGATCCAACAGATCCTTTGGTTCCTTGTAACACACCCAGTGGAGTATCTTTTCCTGGACCAGGTTGGACTCCTCAAGTGTTGGTTGTCATGTGATGAGGCCTTCAGTAGGTTCCCCTTCTACGTGCTTTCTGATGTTTGCGTTCCAAGCTGTAATTTAGTTGCAATTGTCTTGATCATCGTGAACTTTATACTTAGCTCCGTGTTGCTTTTTCGCTGAAGCAGCGGGCAGAATCGGGTCGTTGCAAGTTTTGTTTGGTTTGATGCTTCTGCTTGAGGTTGTTGTTGTTGTTGTTGGAAATTTCTATTGAAGTGGTAAAATCGTACCATCTTCTCTGCATTAATCTTGATCTTCCAGTCACGTCGGTAGATGAGGTCCATTTTTTCTTAGAGCGTCTGACTGAGCCTCTCGCTGGCTCTTTGTTGTTGACCTCGTATAATAAAAGGCGATCTTCGTGTCGACGGCCTTCGAGATGTTGTATCTGTAGATGAAATAGGTATACACTCGTTACTGAATAAGTTCGATCTGCTTAGTAGCTTTGAATCAGCTCACATGTCTTTTCTTGGTATCTGGCCTCTATTGCCTTATGTATTAGACCCTTGGGCCCTAATCGGATGAAGGCTCGTTCTCTCCCCCTTCACGCGTCGGCCTTGATCTTTCATGTGGCAGCTTTTAGCTGTTTTACTTGCGTCCTTCGACCATCAGTTGTACCAGATTTTTCAATCGTTTCTGTTTGAAGGACATCTGTGACATTCATCAAAATAAAAACGTCGATCACAGAAGAACTTTCTCATTTTGCTAGTGGGTACGTTCGTCTTTCTAGATCCATGATAATTGGCTTTTGGGTGGCTGCGTACTTCCCCAGCTTGACTACTTTCCGGTTATGGCTGGTGCAGTTTCTGACTGGGAATTCATATTTGATGTCTCCAATCGTACTGCTGGAGATCTGATCGTGGAGTAACTCCTGTATGTCTTCTTCGAGAGGAATATCCAGTAGAGGTGAGTACGCTATGGGGATCATAGTTTGGTCTCTGAGTCCAATATACTGGTGCATGGTAGGTGTTATCAACTTGTTTTAATCAGTATTGCTATTCCATCAGCATTTGGCTGGTTGAAACAGTATGTCTCGTAACCTCTTAAGGATATTCGATCAACATCACTCATTTTGTTCTCCTGCAGAGCCAGGTTGGTGGTGCTCTAGCTTCTAATCCTTAAACGTTCCACGAGATTTTCCATGATTGTTCAACCATTCCGAAGGTTAGTTTCCTGAAGCACCGCTTGCAAATATCTCTCGAATCATTGAGGCTATGATCTAGTCTTTTTTCATCGGTTGGGCGGCAGTTCTCTTTGGCGCTCTTTTTCCATGCTACCAGTAGTCCTGGCCTGCTTGTGGAATGCAGGTTTTCGATATCAAGGACCTGGTTGATATACCTGGAAGGATATCCAGTATCCATACTATCCGCGTTTCAGGGACTGCCACCCTCAAGCTTTCGACTCGTGCATTCCTGCACACTTCACGGACTTCTCGATAAACGTGCATCTGGTCTGCGGCGTGTGGCCGAGTTTTTCGCATTTGAAAAAATGACGCGGTTGGCCGTTCTCGAGCTCTACGTCCAAGTTCATCAATCGCTTGATCTGACAGATCTGGCGTCTTCCGTTTGGACGATAAACAAAGGTACATTGTGTGTGCCTGTTGGACCCTAACTCTTTTAGCTCTTGTGTTCTTCCCACTATGAACGCGTGCTCGAAGCCAATATTGGCCTACTCCGTTCCCCCCCCCCCCCCCCAGGAAGGTATGCTAGGCATAATAGCAGGAGACTTTGTGGCAGCCCCGGGGTTTCGGATTGGGAAGGGGCATGCCTTATGCATAGAGTTGCCGAACTCACAAAGGTGATGTCTTTGGTAGGGGATACAACCTTTTCAGATCTTTTGTCCACATTATGAGCCAGAATCTCTTCGATTCCCATCTGCTGTAAGGCCCTTTTCGACCCGCAGATCTTCTTTCTTCTTGAGTGCTCCGTTCTCAGCTCTCGAGTGATTCAAATTCACGATCAAGTTTTGGACTATACCAGAAAATTGGATAGAAATAGGTATATAGAAACTATGCATCAGGAGCGCTATGCTTTCAAGACTTACTCAGCAGGAACCTGAGATTTTTCCACTACAACGTCTCGAATTTTAACGAACTATTCCACTAACATTGAGAGTTTCTCTTAGGAAAAAATAAATACTAGACCTTGTTATATGCCCCATAAACGAAAAAACGCGGAATTGAAATTTTCCTCCGTCCTTTTGAAAAATGTCTATATTGTTAAAACTGTTAACATGTACCTTTGTTAAAGCGAAAATAGGAACAAAAGTCGATATACTCAGTATATGCAGGCATATTCGTTCGCCATGTAACAGCAGCCTTTAACATGTCAAAGTCTACTAGCGGCGTATAAGAGCCTATTATTAGATTCGTTTCGCATTTCTATGGTTTTGACGGAACTGTGTTTTACAATCTACATTCTTTTTTTATGTTACATTAGTGTGTAAATTTATTTATTTTCTAAAATAATTTCCACTAGGTACTCAATAAATTATTAAGAAAATGAAGGCAAATAGCCCAATTAAAAACCCTATAACCTCACCAATTAGTCGTAGCGGTACACGGAAAAACGTTTCAAATCGTGATAGAAGCAAACCGCTTGGCAGAAAGTTTCCTTACATATAATACTTTAATTTGACCCGCAGCACCTTATCAGGAGTGGCGTCATATTCAAGATGGCGGATTTTTTCAAAATGGCGCTAGGTACTGAAGTTTTTTCTTATAGGACTAATGGGATTAAAATCAAATAAAAACCAAATTAGTACTTTAATGATGTAAAATAAAGGCACATTTCAAAATAAAATCACAATTTCGGGTGACTATTTAAAATGGCGGTGTAGCTAATTTCATGAAAGCACAGAACAGAGAAATAATTGGAAGGATAGTAGGTACCTACCTACCTATTCCTAGTCTTCCGAATTTTCCAAACCGCAAAATAAAATAAGAATGGTTAAGAATTTGTTTTAATTTAAAATGAAAATATTTGAAAGTATTAACTTTTAAGTTATCTTGTTGGTGCACCATGTCTTTGCAGTAAGTGCATTGCAGAGTACATGGAAGGCCACTTCTTCTGCATTTACAGCGATTACTGCTGCATCCTGTTTCACAAGAGCATCTAGCTAACTCTTGAAAAGTCTCCCAAAGGCTTGAAAGAACAGACCATAGAGGTGTTCACATTGTGCCCTTTTCATGACAGCCCCATGCCACGGTTTTTTATGACGTTTTCCGAAATGGGCATGAATTCGCTTTAAATGCTTTAGTTACTGCATTATTGCTTTGAGAATTCCATGTTTTCCAGGAAGACTTTTTTCTTTTTTAAGAAAAGAAAGACACTGTATCACACCCTGTAAAAGCATGTAACCCCGGAAGAGCACTAGCCTTATCGCCAAGAATATCTAAGATATGAATAATTTATTTAAGTTAAGTCTATTAATGGTATTTTGTAGATTAGAGGGGAGAGCGACTTACCTGCTATAAGGTGTACTGACAAATATCGTCTCTTTAAACCTGATCCAAAGAGAACCCATAGGTTTTGGGTACCTACCAAGAGATTTCAGTCATGAGTAAAAAGCTATACAGTACTATCACATCAGTATAAACTGTCCGCATATATCCTGTTCACAATCCGATGTCCACAGGTGCAGGTACATTTATCACCTTTCCCCATCAAATAGCATTGAAAGGTGATAAATTTTACCGGTACCAGTGGACATCGGATTGTGAACGGATAATACTACTAGATTCTGAGAGCCTTTCTGCACCGTGTTCTTTAAATGTAATATCGATATCATTTTGTCATCTGCTTCCTCTTTATTACTATATTTTAGACCACTGAGTGACGAATTCACGTTTGCTGACTATTGGATTGTGTCACCTATGTTGGTAACATATGCTACCTTGCCTTCTACTGCAATAAAAAATTTTGCTATAAAAAATATAAGGAGATCAATTTTGTTAAATGGGATTCCTAAAAAATCCAGCGAGTTTTGTAGAAGTCTAGTAGCACCGGTTACTTGGCGGCGAATGCCATGTCCTTGTCTTTGGCGTACAGCATTTTTAATGCTATTAATTAAATATTGATCCCAAACAAGATCGATGCGCTTAGTTCCCATTTTTGCGGCATCTTTTTCAACGTAAGGTTTTTGCTCTAATTAAAAATATTCTTGAAATGTTTTGCTATTACGAGGAGCAATAAAATGGAAAGCAGATGCTCCGTCGTAAACAATACCATCACATAATTTTGGGATCAGTACCGTTAGGTACCAGTTCTACAAAAACAGAAAAGTAAATTGGTTGAACTTAATACACGTAATTAAAAACAGATAATCTTAAAAAATATTGGTGAGGTCACTTTTTGGCCACGCCGTAATTCTCCGTTTTGAGATAGAGATGGTGGGCATTCCTGGTTTTCATACTGAAATAATGTATTTAAATCCAAGTCACGGAAAAGACTCGCAATGAATAGTCTGGAAAATAGCTGGTAGTCCAGTTTGAGTGACTGAATTGTACATTTCATTTCAGACTTTTTTACCGTCTTTTTGGATGCAAAAATAGACACAGAATGTTCTTCAATGTTTACATACAATGGAACGGTTTTGCCTAAAATTCGTTCCTTTACAAAAGTATCGTATGTCTTTAAACCTTCTTTTTCAGCATTGTATAGGGTTTTCACGCATTCCTGATCAACAATAAGCCTCGTGTCAATTGCAACAAGGAACGTTACTTGCTCTTCAAAATTATTACCGAACTGTAGAAAACTTTCTTTCAGTGCTTGGCACTTCTGTACGAACTTGCTTTATATTTTGCGCGTGTAGGTATGGTAGGGAATTTGCACGCAACTAGTGCCTAATTGAAAGAAAATTAAATGGCGCCTTCTTTAATTTCATTTATTGTAGTATTGTTGTTTTTTTTATTATTTGATTGCAAAGTACCTACATTTACCTATTTAGATAATTAGAAAACATTTTCCACATAAAACAAAAATATATCCTATTCACAATCTGAAGTCCAAAGGTATAGGTAAATTTATCACCTTTCCCTATCAAATAGCATTGAGAGGTGATACATTTTACCTGTACCTTTGGACTATAGATTGTGAATAGATTAGCTAAGAAGTGCGGAAAATGAATTTTTCAGCACGAGTCTGCCGTTCACCGAACGACGCATAGCAGACGCGAAGAAATAAGTATACCTACATAACAACGTAAATTTATTATTATTTTTTTGACAGCCGTGCGGATTTTTTTTTTCTACGCGCGTGCGGAAGTTGCATTTTCCGCATTGTTAAACAGTGCGCAAAATCGATTTTCCCCACTGAAAACAGTACGGAAAATGCAATTTCCCCACGCTCATAGCAAAAACAACATTAAAAATCAAAAATTTTGGAAATACGCCGCCATTTTGAATTTGACGCTACTTGAAATAAGGTGCTGCGGGTCAAATCGATTGTTTATGTATATCGACCAACTATACCGAGTGGTTTGCTTCTATCATTATTTGAAACGTTTTTGCTATATTTGAAGTCTGCCGCTACGACTAAATGGGGCCCTGCATGCATACATACATGAATTTCAATTTCACTCCGACTGGTTTTAATCAGCAAGTACATATTATAATTTTAATTATCCCGGCTAGCTGGAAAATTTTCCATTAATTATAAGCGAACCCCGTTCAAAATTTCCTCTTTAAATTAATTAGTTTCTAATTCACTTTGATTCCATTAATCTAGAATCCAAGGGAAAAATGTGCCATAAAATTTTGGGCGTCAGCAAGAACTTTTCTTTTGGCTGGAATAGAGTATACATGATTTCGATCCCAAAGAATGCAAAAAATTGCACGAACCTATTAACCTATATCTCATGGTAGGTATTCACTATTCATCACCTGAATGATGTCTGCTTCGGACCGGAACATCGAAGGTTCGATCCTCAAAGGTGGCTTTTTTTTGTGTGTTTTCTCTTTCC